TCAGCCACTACTTAGGTATGTTTAAAGGGTGCGCAATCACGGTGTCCCCTAACCGTGAATGCAGAAATATTCGCAATCAGCTTTCAAAGTTCGTGACTTGTTTCAGCGCGACCGTGTGCCCTGACCCCGACTCACCTCTCTCCCTGACCCTCCCTCACCTCGTCGTGTGCGCTATGATCTCAGTCACCCTCAGCAAACCTTCTCTCCCCTCCCCTCCGTCTATTTCTTTTTTTTTCTATTTCTCATTTCTCTTTCTTCTACTTTCTATCTCTCTCTCTCTCTCTCTCTCTCTCTCTCTCTCTCTCTCTCTCTCTCTCTCTCTCTCTCTCTCTCTCTCTCTCTCTCTCTCTCTCTCTTCTCTCTCTCTCTCTCCCTCCCTCTCTCCCTCCCTCTCTCTCTCTCTCCCTCCCTTCTCTCCCTCCCTCTCTCCCTCCTCTCTCCCTCCCTCTCGCCTCCCTCTCTCTCTCTCTCTCCCTCTCTCTCTCTCTCCCTCTCTCCCTCCCCTCTCTCCCTCCTCTCTCTCTCTCTCTCCCTCCTCTCTTCTCTCCCTCTCTCTCCAACCCTCTCTTTTTCGTTCCTACCCTCTCTCTTTCTCCTACTCCCTCTCTCTCTCCTCTCTCTCTCTCTCTCTCTCTTTCTCTCTCCTACTCCCTCTCTTTCTCTCTCCTACTCCCTCTCTTCTCTCTCCTACTCCCTCTCTTTCTCTCTCCTCTCTCCTTCCTCTCCTACTCCCTCTCTTTCTCTCTCCTACTCCCTCTCTTTCTCTCTCCTACTCTCTCTCTCTCTCTCTCCTTCTCTCTCCTACTCCCTCTCTCTTCTCTCTTCCTGTCTCTTTCTCTCTCCTACTCCCTCTCTTTCTCTCTCCTACTCCCTCTCTTTTCTCTCTCCTACTCCCTCTCTTTCTCTCTCCTACTCCCTCTCTCTCTCTCTCCTACTCCCTCTCTTTCTCTCTCCTCTCCTCTCTCTCTCCTACTCCCTCTCTTTCTCTCTCCTACTCCCTCTTTTCTCTCTCCTACTCCCTCTCTTTCTCTCTCCTACTCCCTCTCTTTCTCTCTCCTACTCCCTCTCTTTCTCTCTCCTACTCCCTCTCTTTCTCTCTCCTACTCCCTCTCTTTTCTCTCTCCTACTCCCTCTCTTTCTCTCTCCTACTCCCTCTCTTTCTCTCTTCCTACTCCCTCTCTTTCTCTCTCTACTCCCTCTCTTTCTCTCTCTACTCCCCTCTCTCTCTCTTCCCTCTCTTTCTCTCTCCTACTCCCTCTCTTTCTCTCTCCTACTCCTCTTTCTTTCCCCTACTCCCTCTCTTTCTTTCCCACCCTCTCTCTTTCTCCTCTACCCTCTTCTTTCTTTCCCCTATCTTTTCTTTCCCCTACCCTCTCTCTTTCTCCTCAACCCTCTCTCTTTCTCTCTCATACCCTCTCTTTTTATCCCTCTCCGCGTCGAATTCTTCCTTCATTAGGTCACCTTCTCTTGTCACTTACACCGCCGCGACCTTTCTTTTACTGTGACGCCTGTCTGTGCGGCTCACAACACCGGGCGGATAGGCCTATGACGAATCCCGACCCTCCCAACGCTGGCCTGAACTCCCATACCTCAAACCGAACCGAACTTGCGGTAGGCTGTGTGCGTGGACGTGAGGGGGGTGGGGGGTGTTTTTACTTTCCCTGTCATTCGCCCCCGCTTTCCTCCCTCCCCCTTAGCGCTTCCCTCCCTCCCCCCCAGGTCAGATGAGGTCGTCGCCTAGCTGAGGTCACCCAAGCCGACTGTCCTCTGCCCTCAGGTCATACACCGACTATTTCTGGCTTCTACTACAATATGTCACATTTACCTGGAAGGCCAACTACTAATGACATTTATAACGCAAGCATTCGCCCTAATATCAAAACCCTCCAAAAATAACGACAACTTCGTCCTTCCAAATTATTTAGCATCACATATATATAACGCATTCCTACCTGTCGGCTTAACGTACAACGGCTATAATCAAAACGCTCAGGTCAGAAATCGGTATGAATCTCCTCTAATGAAGTATTCACATCACCCTGACAATTTCGATATGCAGGTGAGGTTAAGCTTTTCTATTCTGCCAAAGATATTGCATTTTTAATTAACGGTTTTACAACGCCACTACATTAAAAATATATATAGGCCTATATGTTTTAATTTTTGAAGAAAAATAGCAATAAACTGAATACTGTCTCTAATTGATACATCATCCCACTCTTAACGAAACAGCTAATAATGAAAGATGGAATAATGGAATTGATATGATGAATAAATAACTTACTCTCCCTAAACCGGATTCGATTCCTGGTTGGGGAGAGTTATGCATACACAGCTAATAATGTATTTCGCACTATCTACGGACAAGACACTTCAAGATAAGATATTTTGCTGTATCAGACCCCAAGATATCCATGACGCAACACAGTACCTATCTGAAATAAGTCAATATATTATCGGGAAAACAGTAAACTGAGCCACACATTGCACAACACGACTACCGGCATGCTTACAAAACAGTAGTTATCCGAAAAAATCTACGGTACTAACCACCTAAATACACACTCATATATACAAGTACACACAATTCTCTCCTTTCTCTCTTTCTCTCTCTCTCTCTCTCTCTCTTTCACACACACATATATTTACACATTCACACACACACTCACTCTCATTCACTCTTACATCTCGCAACACACTCCATCAACACCGGTGCACGCCCTCGCAACACCCGCGCCCAAGGCCAGGAGATCTCATCACCATGGGCGCCGCATCATAATTCGTCTTCGGGCATCGCTACCGGAACAGCCATGCCCGCGCCACCCACTGGCCTCCCCTTCAGCATTATACTTCGATGTCCAAAAACGCGGCATTTCAAAACAGAGGATGATTTCAAAATTGTTTGTAATTCTATATAAAAGCATCTGTCTCTCCTGGAGGTTGATGACCAATGCCCGAGCGACGGAGCATTTCGAACCCTTCCCTCCGCCCCAAAAAGATTATCTAAAAGTTTTAGTTATCTTCCAAATTTCCAGCGCACAGATTCGCTACCTGTCGCGCCACCTCCCGCACCGCAGTTCATTCCGTATCCTCCAGTTAACATTTCTCTCATTAAATTAGAATTGCAGAATCCTTATCTTTTAATAGGAGGCTTTTGAATCGAGAATCCCAGCCACACCTTCCTGGCGGCGGCGACTCCCACAACCACCTGCCCGACCTGAGCGTCTACCTGCCTCCATACAGGTAAGAAAGGTAAACACGCCTAAAACTTCGTTCTTTTTAAGTCCCACACTCTCCTCAACACTCCATAAGCGTACTCACCTAGTATTATGCGACGCTCCATTGATGCTCTTCGAAATAAAAAATAAAAGTCGTTAACAAATCATAAAAATACATTCAACACAGTCTAAAAAGATTGGTCGGTCATCACTACACACACGTTCAGCACACACTGACTCAAACTACGGCTCACCTGGATTACTTAGCGTTGTTTCGCTCAGGTGGCAGCACTCGACGATGCGCGCGACACAGAAAACCGGGCTGCCTTTTAGAGGGAGACTATACTATTTTTGTTCTCCTATTCTTCCTACTACTACTATAATTACAATCACTATTGTGATAATGGATTTATCGCTTATGTATGGGTGTTTTGTTTTATATTTTGACTTTTTGGTGACAGAATATATGTTTCTTTTTTTCTTTTATTTTCAAAGGCATGCGTTTTAAATTGTTCAACTGACATTAGATTTATTCTCAAATTCTGTCTTGCTATCATTACACAGCTAATACGTTACGCGTCTTTGTTACTAAGAATTCGCATGTTTACCAGGTATCAACTTTTTCCAGCAGGTTACTTGCATATTTGGTCAATAAACATGTTTTATAACGCAAACATGCCACAATTACAATAATCTAAGGTAAAGACAAAATTCAAATTTTCTTTTACACTTTCATGGCTGAATGATAGAATAATACAATAAACTTTAGTGGACTTAGATTTATTGTCTTATTTCCTAAATCATACTAATACAACGACGAATGAAATGGCACTACAATAATGATCGTACTGCATGACTCATCCCAGGATTATATCGATTTCATGACAGGTTCAGCGACAGGTGTTGCAACATGCCTGCCCGTCTAGTCATACGCTCCATATGCACAATAACATTTCTCATGTAAATGTACAATTTATGCATGGCGTTTGATATTTTCGTGAAGAGGGAGAGAGAAAGGATATAGAAATTATGAAAAGACAGATTCAAACCTCTGTCTGTCTGTCTGTTTGCCTGTCTATTTATCTATCTATCTATCTTACAATATCTCCATCAATCTATCCCCCTGTCTCTCTCTGCCTATGAATCTATCCATATATTTATCTGTTTATCCATTCATCCATCCACCTATTCATCTATCTATTCATATAACTATATATCCATTTCAGAGAGGAATGGAGAAAGAGAGATAATCTATATATTTGTACATTTGCAACATATTACGTTTATATATATGCGGTATATTCACATTTTTTTATTCATATCTATCTCCGTTCATCATTTTCACCTACACAACACAAAACAATGTATTAGAAACTGGCATCTTTAGACACATAGATATTATTAAAAATAGTTTCACTTCCGTCCGCAAGCCTTGTTCAAACAGAAGCCTTTTTAATGTTAAGCTGCTTTGAAGCCAAGCCCCAAAAAACTCTGGTTCACAGTTTGTGCATCGTGATGTTATGATATAGTACATTCACCCCTTTTATCTCTCTTGATCAAGATGGATGGCGCCATCATCGAAACAAAAATGATTTGAGGGATTTCGATACAATCATTAAATCTACATTCGACTTTTGCCGTAATCTGCATATGTGATGATCAGTAGCTTCCTGCATACTGGTTTGGCAAATCGAATTCTGTATCCGACAAAAAAGTGAAATCGGACTATTCACAGGCCACAGAGAGGATCAAATGGCATTAGAAATGACGGAAAGTAAACCCTTAGAGTCGATTCTCTTCAAAGGTGCGCGCGGCTCCCTGGCGAGCGCTGTAAATCCAGCAAAATAAAAGGGTCATACAAGCCAGGTCGATGGCGATGCACCAGACGATTCCCGCGACGTTGAAGGCCTGAGCGCACGACGGCGCCTTAGACGACCAAAGCCGATGCGTTACGCACGACGGCATTCGGGGACGACAGGAGCACTTTCCCCAAGGCCTTTTCTGAGTCCTTTTCATTGCTATTGGACTTCGATGTGAACGAGGTTCCCCGTCGCTGGCCAGGACTTCGAACTTCTCCTTTTCGAAGTCCTCCCCGACGTGAGGGTGGTTCCTCGTGCCGCAAGATGGGTCCTCCGAGGCGCTGTCTTCACGGTCGGCGATTTCCCTTGCTCTGGCGCCGCGGAGGAAGGCGAAGATGCCGTGGTGGGCGAAGGTGATGAAGAGGCGGACGATGAAGTAGAAGAAGTAGACGTCGATGACCTTCGGGGAAGATGACTGCGGGATCGTGAAGGTGATTTGAGAGAAGAGAGCAGCGATGACGATGAGGCAGGAGAGAGTCACGCCAATTCTGTCACTGTCAGAGTTACAAGTAGTTAGCGAAGGGAGTGGAAAAAATGAACTAATTTAACCAATAGGTGAGGTTGTATCGCTGGGAAATCTATCAGTATTCTGTTATGGTATCTCTGAATATTCTTCATCACTGTCAAAGTTGCTGTGTTGTTAATGATAGAGCAAAAAAATAGGGAAGAATGAGTGAATACGAGTGTGTATATCTGTATATATTATATATATATATATATATATATAATATATATATATATATATATATATATATATATATATATATATACATGCATACATACATTGATGAGTGTGTGTGTGTGTCTGTCAGTATTTTATTTTTTCGAATTTTCTCTTCCGTAGAAAAAATAAATCCGCTGTTTCAAGCCCAGTATATTCTAACCTGAAGTCTTGTCTCTTGAAGTAAAGGGTCCCAAAGCCGATGATGCCAAGGATCCAGCAAGGCAGAAAGGTGGTGAAGAGGTAGGCCCCATACTGACGTCTCAGCAGTATCTACAGGGAGGGAAAAGTTTGAAAATCAGGGCGGAATTTAGAATTTCTCGTGTGTACAGTCATTCTAAGGCTTTCTCTCTTTCTTTCTTTCTTTCTCTCTCTCTCTCTCTCTCTCTCTCTCTCTCTCTCTCTCTCTCTCTCTCTCTCTCTCTCTCTCTCTCTCTCTTCTCTCTCTCTCTCTCTCTCTCTCTCTCTCTCTCTCTCTCTCTCTCTCTCTCTCTCTCTCTCTCTCTCTCTCTCTCTCTCTCTCCCTCTCCCTCTCTCCCTCTCTCTCTCTCCCTCTCTCCCTCTCCCTCTCTCTCTCCCTCCTCCACCCTTCTCTCCCCTCGTCCCTATTCCTTCTTCCTCTTCCTTTCACACTCTCTGCTTCTCCCTCTTCTCTGCTCCCTCGTTTCTCGCCCCTATTCCCTTCCTCCTCCTTTCTCGCCCCTATTCCCTTCCTCCTCCTTTCTCATTCCCCGCTTCTCCTTCTTCCCTTCTTGCTCCTCCTCCTTCCTCCCTCCTCCCTCCTTCTTTCACCCCCTTCCTCCCCTTTCTCTCCCCTTTCTCCCTAATCCTTCTTCCCACTTCCTTTTCTCCCTCTTACGCTGGAATGACTCAAACCATACCTACTTGAACAGCTCGGGGAGTGACAGAAAAAAATCCTACATATGCTCTGTGTACAAATGGCTCTACCCTTAGACTAATTGCAGTGACGTTCTCGTTGGCGTCGACGTAGCGGTATCGCAGTTCTGACGCTTGGAATAAGGTCAGAGAAGATGCCGAAGAGACGATCTTGATGTCCTGGAGAAGGCAAAGGGTTGAGGCTATTGCGGTCATGAGAATTTTGGTATTGGCGCATCGTTTAGGAGGTTATTAAAAAGTTTCGCGGATTTTAGATATGTCTATGTATGGTTTATGCAGATCTATTATTGGGTTATTCATGCGATTATATGAGGGGGGAAGGGGAAGAGGGAGACAGAGAGGTAGATGGTGAGTGAGGAATATGTGCAAACTGTGTATGTACATATGTAAACATATATAAATGTATATATATTGTGTATACACACTCGCACGCACGTACGCACGCACATACACGTACACACACGCGCACGCACACACAAACAAACACATACACACGCATACACAGACAGATATAGAAACAGAGACAAAGACGGACAGAGAAAAACAGAGGTAAAGATACACAGACACACATAAACAGAGATAGAGACACACACATAGACACGAACAGAAACAGAGAAAGAGACATACAGAGTTAGAGACAACGCAGAGACACGGAGACAGCAAAAGAGACAACATCAAAGACACGGACAGACGTAGCCAGAGAAAATAGAAGAACAAAAGACCCAAGAACGCCCGAATGAACCTGAGGATCGAAGCTGGAGTAGAAGGAGCCGTGGTTCATGACCGAAATGTTGACATGACACTCGTGCACGTCGAAGGGGAACAGAGAGAGGTCAAAATTGCAGATATAGGAAGCCATGAAATCCTCACGCCTCTGCAACTCGGCTTCCACACTTGCATTATACACATACCCTGTAAATGAAGTGTTGTATTGTAAGATTTTACATTAATTCAGTGTACGCCATTGCAACTTCTATGGAATATCTTGGCTATGGTAAGAATCTAAAATAAATCAGCGATAAAAAATCAAATACACGAAAAACGTTGTATAACTGAATTTTCGCACTAAATTATCAGAACATAAAATGTGCTAAGGTATATCTATAACATCACAAGGAGGTAAGAAGTAAAATGAAAAATAATGTTACTGATAGTGATGCTCCTGCAATGATAGTCATAATAATGATAATGACACATAATAATAATGATGACAATAATAATAACTCTAATGATAATGATGATGATGATAATAATTATTATAACGATAATGATGGTAATAATCATAATCATAATGATAATAATAATGATAATGATAAGAAGAAAAAGAAGAAGTAGAAGAATGATAATGCATTTGGAAGC